CCCCAAAACCCCAAAACCCCAAAACCCCATATCATAGCATCTTAAAAAAGTGCTTTGTCAAAATAATACTCTTAATTAAATACTAGTGCCAATTATGAATTAAACATTCCTTATGATAATATTTTATCAATCTTTTAAATCTTCCTCAATAGTTATTGCTAAAGCTTCCTTAGGAATAGGGTCATCTGTCTGAGTAGGAGCAATATCTACTACTGAGTTTTTAGGAATCTTAATTCTGATATAAAGAAGGAATTCAATAAGGTTATTCTAGGCATTCTTGTTGGCGTAGAAGTTGTTCTCAGTTATTACAACTACCTAGTTCTCACTCAGCATCTTCATATGTTTAAGCATCAGTTTTTATATTCCTAAAGGCTCCTCTTTGTTAGATTTTGAATCAACACACACCTCCTCTTGTAATAAGAAATACAACGCATAGTTTGCATCTTTTTCTCTCTTCAGGGTCATTTGTATATCTATTGGCCAGCCTGTTTTAGGACACTTATAGGCAAGTTAAAGTCTATATCCAGCGTCATAACTCTTCTCTACCATCTTAAGATAGAACTTAGAAAACCATTCATGGCCTTTTCCCTTTCCAACACAATTTCTCATAACAACTGATTCGAATTCGTCATAAAGCGCAGAATCAAAAGTCTTTGACTTGAAATGATACAAAACAGTCCAAGCCTTAACAATATTATTTTTATTCACGTCCACAAAGTTCATCTAATTAATGTTTGAGAATAGCAGCAGATGCTTTGATTTCTTGTCTAAATCAACGATTTTCCTTTTTCTGTACTGATGGAATTCAAACTCTTCTGACTTTTAGGACTCGCTAGCTTTTCTGTCATAGACATTCAAATTTTTAATCTTAGACTCTTGCTTAATTTTTTAACTCTTTTCATCATCTTCAAATTAATCGAAATTCAGCATCAAATCTTTAGATATGCTGTCGAATCTTTTTTATGAAGTATTTAATTCGTCATCTGAATCACTACTGCTACTCCTGCCATTTTAAACTCGATTTTTGCCAAAATCATCCTCCTCACCTTCCTTAGCGAACATCAGAAATTCAGAAGGACCTTCTTCTGAAGCTTATTCAATAATTCCCTCTTCAGTCTATGCTGCTTCAGTGGCAGGACCTCCCAGTATTTCTAACTTCTAAATATCGAAATCTTTTTATATCAGAGAAGGTCTCTCGTTATCGTAAATGTTTCTTATAAATTTGAAGTCTAAATCGTCAACTTTTGTAGGCACTTGAACTTTTTGATATACTCTGTCTGTGCTTTGGATTGATTTGAAATATTTAATGTTGATCTTCTCTTCCTCCCCAGTAATGGGATCTTACTATATTATTGTTTTAGTTTCAGTTCCAGTAAATTTATCATCAATATAGTCGATGCAGGCCTCAACAAATTTTTTACTTTTTTCATCAAATTCCTCATAACTATCTCCAGATACAGCCAAAACTACTAAGTAATCAAGTATCAATGTAACATCTTGAATAGATTCTGGATTAGGATATATTCTTCTAAGCACCTAAGTGCATTTCTAGATATCAAACTAAGAGTAACCAAGGTAGGAACTGTAATGAAGGAAATCTTTGATGTAATTAGCCACACTTTCCTTATCCTTCATTTTTATAAAGGTATCAAAGTGTATCTCAAGTAATTCTTAATGGAATATATTCTAGCTAGTCAAGATTCCCAAGATCTCAGACTGTTGTTTTGGTAGCGAAGAAGAACCTTTAATTGATAGGAGCTTATTCAAAATTGCATTGTTTTTCAAGAAGTCTATATAAATAAATTAATAAGGATATTATTACTAGGCCAGCTCTTGGCAAATTTAAAGAAGAATTTTTGATTATTAGAATACATCTCATCAATCACTTGCTGTGAAGAGTACTTCTCATAAAGTTACTTGATAAAATCCTCATGGTAGTTGTCTAATTTTTGGTTTCCCAGTATTTTCAGGCATTCCTAAGAATAATGATTAAAGCATTATAAGCAAGCTTACCATAACTTCATCTGCACTCATATCCTCAATGACATCTGCCATTAACTTACTTAATGGACTTAGAATGATTTTCTCATGATTGAGAGGATTTTCATTCTCAATTTCTTTGCTTGAGTGCTAAAAGATTTACTAATATTTCTTTATAATTTTAGTCTTAATATCTCGCTCCTTTTTTGAAGCCTGATGATTCACACTTTCAAAGACTGGATCTTCATAAGTATTATTTATTTTCTGTATTTCAATGGTCTACAGGTTTGCAGCTACATTTACCATCAGTTGTTTGTTGGCTTCAATAAGTCCATGCTTTTCAATCAAATTTATTAAAGTTAAGAGGTCATTACCTACTAAAGATCTTCCACTTATCATTTAATCTAAAACCTTTTAAGTGATATGCTTTCCATTCTCAAAGCTAACTAAATTCAAGAATGTTATGATGCTTGGAATATTTAAATCAATTAAGAACTTGTTAGTTTCGTCAGTTATTTTCTTAGAGATTTCTTCTTTCTTATTGATTTTATCAAAATTTTAAATTTAAGGCTTTTTACTGTCATAATGATATTCTATTGAGCTCATAACAATCTCTTTTAATGGATGCAACTCTTTTTCATATTTATTATTCAACTGTCTATTTGATTCCCCTGAAACCTCTTTATGTTTTTGAAGGTATTCTAGAGCAGCTTTATTTACTTAAAATACATCTTCAAGCTTAAATTCTGATGTCCTAGTAATTAAATCATTAAGTTCACTAAATATTTCACTGGCTGCCTCATTTACACTGACAACAATATCCTTTTGGTTAAACAAATTAATCATGTTTGTAAGAGCTTTAAGTGACTAGATTCTATCTGTGAATTCTTAGCTTAGTTTATCCTATGTAATGAAAGAGTACGCCTTAAACCCTTTTTGCTTTTCCTCTTAAAAATTCTTTTTTTAAAGTTATAGAGTTTTAGTTATAACATTCTTAGCAACTTCAGAGTCAGTAAATAGAATGCTGAAGATTTTTTCATTTGAGAGAAGTTTATTAATAATCTTAAGCTCATCATTGTTAAGACGATTCTCTTTATTTTCAAGTATAAAATCATCCAATACTTTCCACCAGAAAGATAAGGTCTTTCCCTTGAATGGTCTAAACTATTTGTGGAATCTTGACTGGGATAACTGCAAATGCTCAAAACTATTAGTGTTTTCCTCCATTCTCTTAATTGATTCAAATATTAACTAATATAGATCTTTCATATCAGCGTCTCTGAATGTCTAAGGCTTTTCATAAAGCTTTCCATCCTTTCCTAGAGCTATTGTATTCTTTTGGATCATTACCTCAAACATTAAGTCAGGTTGGTAAAGTGAAGGAATCATAAATTTAGCTAGTTTTACCATATCTTCTATCTTAAGGTATTGATCTTTCTGTAGCTCATCTAATCTATAATATAGATGTTTTAACTCTTGGTGCATTGATATAAATGTCAGCGGTGCTTTTTCGTAAATAATTTCAAGGAATCTGATATGTTTACCGATTTCATTAGCGCTTGGAATATACATCAAAGTTTTTATATTTTTCTTTAAAAGGATATTTGTAATGAATCTAGAATCAATTTAACCCATCTTATCCCCTTCAGTTAACTTTAAGAGTAGTTCGTTAATCTCATCAATGTTCAGCATAGAGCTTCTAATTTGCATTAAACTAGATTTAAGTCTGTTTTGAATATCTCTACATTTAAGTAATTCTTGCGCCTTGTCAATAACTTGCATCATTTCTTTTTTATCAATATTTTCCCAGTATAGGCTATTATCATTTGCCAGTATATCGTTGAGTAGTGTGTATTATGGAGATTTAGTTACATTAGGTGTGTCGTCTTCAACTTTCGGAAGAGCCTGCAAGATGTTTAGCTTATTCTAGAAACTCAACTCTCCAACAGACTTTTTACTCAGAATTTTCTTTAACTAGTTATGGAATTGATCCTTGCTCTTTGTTAGATGATTTTTAAACTATGAGATCAAGTTAATGTGCTTGCTATCATCAACATAATTAATAACTCTTGCAATATTTGATGCTTTATCTAAGTTGAATTCATTATATATGGAATCGTTTCTGTAAAGATAGTCCTCTAAAATAATAGCCTTATAAGCTTCCTCCCCATTTGGCTTTAAGTTTTATAGAGCTTAACAAAGATCAAGGCCTTTATTATAGTCCTTAAGGTATTTTAGTCTTATTGTCTAGTCATTAAAGATTTTATCTATAAAAGTTCTCAATTTCTCCTTAGAAGCTTCATTTAAAATATTAAAGTTTTCATTGATGTAATCCAGCTACAATATCTTGTTATTGTTGACTATTATGTTAGGGTTTAAAGTAAATTATTGACTGATTCCCTCAATATTCATGATTACCTTCTTTTTAATGATTCCCTACATAGCTTGATATTCCGCAAGAGTAAGTCCCATCTGAGAAATCATTGCATCTGCTGGATTATTTGATAGTTTTTAGAATCTGTCCTCGATCTAATCATTAGTCATTCCAAACACCTGATCAATCATCTTAGGATTCTCAAGATTAAACTGGACTGGCTAGAAATATTTCACACTCAGGTCACCTCTTCTTTAAAGTGCTCTCAAAAGTTTATCATTTGTATATTTGAATGGATTTTATACTGGAATATATTCCTTTTATTAACTATTAGATTAGCCCATATCTGATTAAGCAGCATATCCGGTGCCATCACTCTAAACCTACTTTTGGCTTTTCTAAACTTATTGAGCCTAGTTTAGAGCTAGGTCTGCATTTTTTCTTCTCTTATTCAATATCTTCATAACCTGCTCATTGAGACTTTCTTTTGCCTTTTACACATCTTTATTCTAACTTGATTGCAAATAACTTTTTTCAATGTTCACGTTAGAGCTATTATTATTGAACTAGATAGTATGTGGATATTCCCCGGCAGCTTAGCTCGTCATTCTTGTGTGTTGCTATTTACTTTTGAAGAACAAGTTATCTTTTCTCCTTTCTTCCTCTATTTAATTAATGTGTCTGCTCCCTGCTTCAGCAGCACTATCATCACCTCTTATTTTAGCATTCTCTTATCTTTTCTATTACATCTACTGGCTTCCTAATTTTTTAGGGTCTTGGATCTCTTTCTCAAATTTCTTTACAAAATCGAACAACACCTGTATGTTCTCAATATGACGAGTGCTCGACTTTAAATTAAACTTGTTGCACTCCTAAATTAGTTGCTCTGCATCCATCTCTAACCAAGAGTCTAGTAGATCAGACTTTATCCTTCCGAATTTTTCCTTGAAAAAATCATTTACTTCCTTTTAAGTCAACTGCATTTGAGCAGACCCTCTTGTTTAAGGCATTGATTTTCTGATTTATTTTTATTATCTAAGCTGATTTTCATCTCTAATTTCATCTGAGTATGTTCTCTAAGGTAATACAGTTAGAAATTTTAGCATAGAGACATAATTTGCCTAAGATTTAAGCAAAACATTTAGATGATTAGTGTTGGCTGAATTGACTAACCTCTAAAACTACTTTAATCTAAACATTTCTTTCGCTTATTATATATAAATTAATAATAACTTTGATTCAGTCGCTAATGGTAAATTTAATTATTATTGTCTGTTCCGAACTTTAATATTTTTACTTAAGGGGTTTTGGGGTTTTGGGG